TGTTCTGTAGACGTTTATCTGTTGACCTTTTGACCTCCTGAATTCTGCAATGAGATTTTCGGGTCGATTCAGCCGAGACGGCCCGAGTGGAGTTTCATGTAAATGTTTCGTACGGAAAAAAAAATCGCCACCGGTCCTGTGTAATGCCTAGGCAATTAGGTGGTATATGCCAGGTTCTCGAAAATTTTCGTTTGAAATTTAGCGAAAATGGTGTCAGTTATCCATTTTACACAAAAAATAAACGCTTCCCTTCAAACACCGACAGATGTTCTTTACATCTGTAGGCCTAAAGATGACATGGATCAATCTGCAATCACTGGAGCTGATAATTTCCAACAGATTTCGTAGCATATTATTAAAAAATCAACGGGTAGAAGAGCGGGCAAACAGATGTTATGCATATTATAGCATTTCGCGATAATTTTAGGAACGATTTTAGTGAAATAACAGTTTTTAAAAATTGGACTTTTTGAAATTTGGTGGTCCAGGGGCAGAAGCATGGAGGGGGTTTGTGAGAAAAGCGACAAAGTAGCATTTTGAGGGTCTTTACATAATAGATTTCTCAAACACATAATTCGTGAATATTTCATTTAAATTTTCATTAATTTGGGTGTTTTTGGGACCTGAAAAAGTAACGTTATTATGTCCTGTACACCTGCAGGCCTATAGATAACATTATTCATATTATATGGACAATCTGCAATCACCGGAGACGATCAATTTCTAACAAATTTCATACCACATTATTAAAAATCAACAGTTAGATAAGCCGGCAAAATTATAATGCAATGCATGCTATAGCATTTTGTGATAATTGGGAACGATTTTGTGAAATCATAGATTTTAAAAAGTAAACCTTTTGGAATTTGGGAGGGGAGGTGCGTCCGCACCCTCTGCACACCCCCACCCCCCTGCCTACGGACCTGAATACATTATAATTTCAGCGGCGGATTCAAGGCCCAGCCTAGGTCCAGGCAGGCACTAAAGCCTAGGCTAGGCCTGGCCTAGTTAATAATACAGGAACTTGTACCGCGCCTTTTGCCAAAGGATACATACAAGGCGCAACCAAAATAAATTTAAAAAAAAATGATAACCAATTGGGGATCAACAAAGACAACAGAAATGACAAAATACCAAGAAAATTTAGACAGTTAAGTGAGATTTATCTAGGAAAACAATGTTTATTGAGAAGTCGTCGAAGTCGAGGCATTTAGGTATATGTCTAGACTTAGGCCTTGTTTTTTGACAAGCCCGGACACATGTACCTACTACTAGCCTTCTCCCAAGCCCACTTAATTTTTGTATTAGGCATAATTATTTCAAACACTTAATTTTTGTATTATTTGTAATGCTTATACGCACTCCCTCCCTCTCAAAATTGTCAATGGTCACCAAAAAGTGCCCAAGTGATCTAAAAATTTCAACCATTTTCAAATAGGCCTGTTGACACTGTTCAAAAAAGCTGTGAAACTTTAATTTAAAATATAGGGCGTCCTCTCGAGTTGCACTGTCATTGGAGTTTTGCATTGCCACCAATGTTTTGCACTGTGACTCTCAGTTTTGCACTGTGACTCTCAGTTCTGCACTCTGACTCTCAGTTTTGCACTGTGACTCTTAGTTTTGCACTGTGACTCTCAGTTCTGCACTGTGACTCTCAGTTTTGCACTGCGATTCTCAGTTTTGCACTGTGACTCTCTGTGTTTTGCACTGCTGACTGTATTTTGCACGGTGACCCTCAGTTTTGCACTGTGACTCTGTGTTTTGCACTACTTAGTTTTGCACTGCGACTCTGTGTTTTGCACTGCTGACTCTCAGTTTTGCGCTGCTGACTCTCAGTTTTGCACTGCTGACTCTCAGTTTTTCACTGCTGCCAATTATATTTTGTCCTTTTGGCGTTCCATACCTTTCAATTAAAAAAAAATCAATTGTAATTGAGAGCAGTCGGCTAATCTGGTGGTAGCTATTGTGTGTGCGCTGAACCGTGGAGGTCTTTAAGTCCCCTGTTTAATTAGTATCGCTGCCTCTCCTTGTATTTCAGCTGGAGGAATGAAATACAAGTTATAATAGCGCACCCTAAAATCGATTAACTTATAAGCTTTTGAAACCCCTAAATTGCCAAAATTTTTGGGGCTTTCGCCACCCATAGGTCCACCTGTAAAACCTTTTAATCGAAGCTCGACCACGCCCACTTCAGGGGTGGATCTAGCCTGCTAGAAAAGTAGGGGCGCAGCCTGCGAGCGAAGCGAGCAGCCTTAGGCTGGGGGCCAGGGGGCCGCCAAGGGCCCCCGGCGAGGTCCAGGAGCAGAGCCCCTGGTGGGCGTGCAAGGGGGCGAAGTCCCCTTGAAGCCCAGCACATTTGAGGAATATGAGTTTGCATTAAGTCAATTTTGACTATCTAGCATGGTAGTTTTCAGTGACAAAAAAAAAAAAAAAAAAAAAAATAGGTGCATGTCTTTTAAAAGAAATTTTAATATTCAGGGTAGCCGCAATATGCAACTATAAAATGTGTCATTAAAATAATAATTCATCTACTCACAGCAGTGAAAATTCAAGGTTTTCCCCTCTTGAAAACGGTCAGGTAAATTTTTCTCATGTCTTATTTTATGTGTGTGTTTACATACATAAACAAATTGAGTAATTGCATACGATTTTTTTCCATGAATCAATAAATTCCCAAAAAAGAAAGGGGAGTCCAGGGGTTCTCCCCCGGGAAAATGTTGATTCTCAGAAGGCGGGAAATAAGCTTTCCCGACTTCTGAGGTGTCTTTTAATTACTTTTTATTTCTTCAAAATCCAATTTTTTCCCCTCTTGAAAATGATTTAATGAATCAATGAATTCCGAAGAAAAAGCGTGTCCGGGTTACCCCGGAAATATTTTGATTTCTAGAATGCGGGAAATGAGCTTTCCTGACTTCTGAAATGTCTTTTAAATGACTTTTTATGTTCTTCAAAATTTAAGGTTTTTCCCTCTTGAAAACGGTCAGGTAAATTTTTCTCATGTCTTATTTTATGTGTGTATACATACATAAATAAATGAGTAGTTGCACGCCTATTCTTTTTTCCATGATTCGATAAATCCCAAAAAGAAAGGGTGGTCGGGGGATTATCCCCTATTTCTAGATGGCAGGAAATAAGCTTTCCTGACACTGGAAGTGTGTTTTAATGACGTTCTTCAAAATTCTAATTTTCTTATTGTAACATAAAAAATTTAAAAAAAATCAGCTTACGGGTCCTGAAAAGTTAGGTCTAGGATTTTTTTTTTCTTTTTTTTGTTGGCCAAGGGAGTGGTCAGGATCCATTATCCCCTCCCCCAGATCCGCCAATGTGAATCGCGAGAAAATTTAACTCGTGGACTGGATAAACATTTTCTTTCCCATCCTTCGCCTCCTTCCCTCTTTCATTTCTTGCATTTCTTTCCAATCATACAAAAATGTCCAGACATTATATATATTTTGCCAAAAAGTGAGGGGTGAAAACACTGTGGGTGAAAGTTTTCTGCAAAAAAAAAATAGGGGGAGGGGCGTACCCCCTTACATCTAATCCCCATTCTAATATTTAACAAAGGGCCCAGAAATCAATTAAGCCAATCAGCTGTTGAATGTGTAGGTCTCAAGTCACTCACCCCAATGGCAATAAATTGTGCTTTATTTAGGCTAGCTAGGCTAGGGTAGGCCTAGCCTAGCCTAGATGAGACCCTAGCACCCCGCCTAGGGCCTAGGCTAGCCTACCTACAGCATTGAAGATCACCAGTGTTTAATTATTGAATATAAAAGTTCTATTGAATTAAAGTATATTGAATTAAATCACGGTTCTTCCAGATTGAACGATCAAACTATCATCTGTTGAGAGAGATAACGTTACATGCCATCCTGTAATGTTGGTGAGTGTCTAGGGGATCATCTTAATAATTCAACACTCACTGCATGCGGAGAGCTGAAAACTAGCTTTAGGGTACTTTTGGGCTGTGATACCTTCTGTGCAGAGATCGTCTCAAAAATTCCGTTTGTTTTTTTAACTTGAAGAAAATGTTTTTTCTTGCTATTTTTTCACTAGAACCAGGCAACATGAGTATAAACAGGCTAGCCCGGAGCTGTTTTTTTTTTTGTGATATAAGGGGGGGGGGGGTCGCATGCACAAATCCGCCCCTGCACTTTGCTTTCGTCGGGAAAACCTGACCTCTCGTCGGGGGAATCGGCACCCCAACCCCTTTGAAAGCGACAGTCTATCGTTGCTATTACCCACATTTATATCCCTGATCTTGTAGGAAAATTGTTTTTACTATGACAGAGGGGTATACAGTAGCACTACATTAGCACAGTGTTAAAATGAGCATGTCAAAAAATACTCTTGCCTGAAACATTTTTGTGTTTAGGCATCTAGTTAGTACGCCTTCTAACATAACGGGTTCTCTATGTAATAATTAATATTGAAGCCATACTTACGTATATATTCGAACGTTAAAAAACGTTTAAAAAAAGAGTTTCCAAGGAGTTATCGGTGCACGGAGCGAGGTAATTTCAATCCGCAACGAGAAAATTGGTCCGGTTGTATATATCCACACGAGGAAATTCAATAGATTGAAATTACTACGCAGACCGCGCAGCACCCATTGTGTTGTACCTACGCCCATTGACACAATTGAACAAAGATTGGACAAGTAGAAGAGGTATTTTTCTGAAGAGACGACCAATATTTTATGTAGCCCACGTAGTTTCTCTCATGATATATTACCGTACGTATGTCCGTCGATAGCCGTTCAAAATAACAACAAAAACAAAACTAAGTGGCCTACTGTAATCCGGAATCGAGTGTATTTGGAAGGGAAAGGACCCCTCGTCAAGGAGAGTTTCCCCAAACCCATCAGGAGTTTTCGGTGGACTCGTCCCGTAGACGAATTCCGAAAGATTTTAAGCGCGGCCGACCACGCCCACGTCGCTTTCAGGTAACCGTTTACATACTTGCTTCATGAAGTATCAATTGTAATCTTATAATGTAACTAATTGCAATAATCACTTACTTCAATCAGTTAAATCATTATCTATTTTCACCTTAAAGATTCTGAGCTTAAAGTGGTATCCTCCTATTCTCTTTACTGTTCCGCCTTCGTATGTTTTGAATTTGTGCTCTAAGAGCAGGAAATATCAAACATAACAAAATGGTTTTATGGCATTTGATTTTTTTTAGTAATTGGTTTGCTGTTTGGTTTATAGAGGAATTTTTCGATATAAATAATCTTTGATTGAATGTCTTATTAATTCTATTCTATTTTAAAGATCCGCTGAGTTTAACCTGCTACAATCCATCGATGGAGCATTTGCCAATTTAACTCAACTCGATAGAATGTAAGTTTACTGTGTTTTTTTTAATATATATTAATGAATGGGTGTCTAATGTGCTACGAAAATTAAATAATTATTATAAGCTTTAAACAATATTTTTTTTCTAAACTACATTAGATATCTGAAAGGTAACCAAGTTAAGAAGCTGAGAAAGGAAACATTCAGAGACGCCTACTTTCGAATAATGTAAGAATGTAATATTTATCCAATAAATTATTATGCAGAGGAGGAGGTGCCATAATTTCCTTGATGGGAATCTAAAGTTCCTGACAGGGGACATAACAATAATATATGATAGGGCAGCTAGCTTAGTCGGCTACACTGGCACTGTGTGTGTGCTGAACCGTAGAGATATCTTGGTTCAAGGTTCAATTCCCATCGCTGCACTTCTTGTGTTTCAGCTGGATGGATTAAATGCTAGCTTTAAAAAAGCGCACCGTCTTTCGGATGAGACGTTTAAGCCGTTGGTCCCATGTGGAAAATGGTCCATGTGCAAGTCAATGAACGTAGTGCACTCTGTGGAAAAGTAGGGACACGGAAATAAGTCTCAGGACATTTCTGGGTTATCCATAATGTGCATCACATCAAAGAAGTCCAATCAAATTTAGAATTTACATCCATAAACAATATACTACACTACAGCTTATTGTACTTAAAACTAAACCTAAATAATAATACACGAAGTAGGCCTAAATTATATACAAGATAAAAATAATAAAAAATTTTCTAGAAACAAGCAAAATTATAAGCAACTTTAAATTACTAAAACTGAGTAGTTCAAATGACAGGGCATTCTCAAACCTAAGACCCATTGCAAAAAAACAAACAAAATGGGCAATCATGTGGCACCATTTCTTAAGGAGGTGATTATTTTCATTTCAGTAATATGCATAAAAACCCTCTGGAGTACATTGAACCATACACGTTTGAAGATCTGTACCATCTCAATGAAATGTAAGTATTTTAATAATAACTTTTCTTTCTTCATGTTTTAAAATACAAGTGATTCTAATTATTATTAATAGTGATTTGAATGATTATGAATAATAATTATGAAACCGTTAGGGCTAGACTGTGCATGCTTCCTATCATATGAAGGTACTCATTGATATTCTGGATAAATATAGACAAACAGCCGATATAAAGTGTCTTGAAAAGGACACAAATGACTTGCACACAGTGCAAATATAATATATTGGAAAATTCTTCAGTAAAGTAAATTGCTTTTAAAGGTCAATAAAATACTGTAATTATTAATAACAATATTATTATTATCAATTACAATAGCAATAGTTTATAATAATAATAATAATAGTCTTATTGATATTAGTAATAATAAATAATATTAAAAAGAGAATAGTAATAATAGTATTAACAACAATCATTATAAACAGCAAAAGTGAAAATACAGAGGAAAAATGTACAAATTAAGTTGTGTGAGGAGGACACAATAAGCTACTAGGTTTTAATTTTGTGCCACCAATTTATATAAAAAGCAAGATGACATTGATTGAGAAAGTAAACAAAAATAATATGTATCTTAACTGACAATGTGGAAAAAGAAAATAATTTAAATAGTAAAAATAAAATTAATCGTTATAATTAATAAATAAATTAACAAGTAAGTTGATATAATTGGATTGGATTGGATTTACTCGGTGTAAACACCAAGGATAGCCCACGAAAGTCTAGAAGAAGACTTATTTCCAGTGGGGTCCTTCTGATGGTGATTGGGCAGTACACCGGGAGACAATCCCCTACTCTTTTCCGAAAAGTGCACTACGTTCTTTAACGTGCACATGGGCTATAATGCACAAGGAACCAACGGCTTAAACGTCTCATCCGAAAGACGGTGCGCTAGTAACTTGTATTTCAGCCCTATATAGAGCTAATATAACTTGTATTAGCCCTATAGCTGAAACACAAGGAGAGGCAGCGATGGGAATTGAACCGGGGACCTAGAGATCTCCACGGTTCAGCGCACACACAGCGGCTACCACCAGATTTAGCCGACTGAGCTAAGCTGCTCTCTCTAATATAAACGTTCAGCAAAATGAATAAATAAATAAATAAATAAAAATAGTAAATATAATACAATAATATGATAGAGTAACCAAGAAACAGTGTTTAGCAGTAGAAGTAGCTGTGTAGTAAAATTATGTTTTTTTTTTCTCAGACTGTTAGGGGACACGGCAATAAGAGAATTGAAGGAAAACGCATTCTTTATGTCTAGTCACGCGGCTTTGACCATGTGAGTTATTTGAATGATATTTAAATAATTGCCTATGAGTTTACAATGCGATCATAAACTTTCATTGACTCGTTAGTGTCTTATTTTCTAGTGGCTTCAATAATCATTTTAATTATTTAATGATAATGATAATAACGACAACAAAAACAAAAATAAGAATAATGATGGGAATAATAATAATAATAATAACAATAATAATAATAATAATAATAATAATAATAATATTAATAATAATAATAATAATAAATAATAATAATAATAATAATAATAATAATAATAATAATAATTAGAAATAATTTCATTTCATTCATCTTTTATTTTAAAATTCACGTTTATATAAATAATATAATTTACCACGGTACCTAAAACTAAATATAAACAATGTGCCACAATGGCATTGACACAGCTTTGCGTTGTGTCTGTAACATTAGGCATTTTTCGTTTTGACTACGCGGCCAGTCTACTACGAACTAATGGACCGTGACGGCAACGCCAAGACACTGTTCGCGTACTACACCAAGAGCTGTTTTCGTTTTTTTAAGGCGACTACGAACGACGTAGCACACGTACGTAGGCCGGAGCGGGGTTATTCGACCATTGTTTTATTACCATAGAACAATGTTCCCTTGTTTTATATTTGAAAAAGGAAATGTGAAAAAAACTTTAGTCAAATACTGTATACAAAATAAAAAGTTTCCAGAAAACACTGAGTGACGTTTCGCTGTTGGCTGGGATCTACCAGACTAGGCCTAGCCTAGGTGTCAAAAGAGTCGTTAACCGGGAGAAGAGGGGTGTCAGGCCTGCTCAGGCAATTTGCCAAATGCAACGATGATGTACAAATAAATAACAATTTTAAACAGAGGTAT